TGGAAAAAATGAGTAAAGATGTATACAATGGATAGAAATAGGCCCTTGTCAGACAAAAAAATAAAATTAGTCTTTGAATAAACATGGAAAATAAACACCCTCATAATTAAATAGAGACCAAGACAGTGGGATTGACAACATCCAGTGCTGTGCAAAGTGGAGAAATGCACATACATATATGCCGATTATGAGAACATAAATTAATTTAAATTCATTAGAACTTGAATTTTCAGTGCACGTGTTTTTTGATGCAACTTTTCCATTTCTAGGTAATTTTCCGCACCTTCAAAGATGCTCAGTAATTTAGAGAGAAGCAATATGACCAAAGCTGTTCATTGCTGCATTGTTTGAAAGAGTCCAACAGTGATAACTGAAGTGCTTGTTAGTAGTGAACTGTTGTTGTTGTTAAGTGCCTTTGAGTCAGTTCCGACTCATACTGTCCCTGTATAGAATTTCCAAGGTTTGAAATCTTTCTTTGCAGGAGCAGAAAGCCTCATCTTTCTCTCATGGAGCAATTGGCAGGCTCAAACCACAGACTCTGTGGTTCATAGTCCAATGTTTATCGTATGGAGCCACTGCACACTGATTAATTCTGTAGCTGATATGAGAAATGGAATAGATATTAATGTGTAATTATGAAAAGGTGTCTAAAATATATCAGCAAAGTGTTATTGTTAAGTGTTGTCAAGTTGGTGCTAATTCATAGCGACCCTGTGTAGGGTTTCCAAGGACAGCTGGTAAGCTTGAACCGCCGACTTGCAGTTCAAATGACTTTGCAGTCTGACACATTAACCCACAGTGCCACACCAGGACTCGACTGTTTAGATGGCTCGTTTTTCTCCCCAGCAGGATGGCAAAATTGTCCAGTCCTAAGTTCTAAGTTTTTACAATCACAATTTTCCCAGTTAACAGTCACGCACAGATAAATCACATAATCAGTATTTCCCCTCACCTTCTCTTACCCAGATCCATCAGGGAAAAAGGAAATACACCCAATCTGCATGGTCTTACCCAGTCACTTGGTGGGAATTACAAAGACAATGGCTAGAAGAACCACACCAAACAGTTCACTGCACTGCAGCAGGGCAGAGTGTTCCTTCAGTGACTGGAAAGTACTGATGGCATTTAGTTGATGGGAGCCAGGAATATTAAACACCCTGTAATGGGAGGGACATACTCACACAACAAAGACTTGTAGTATTGGAAGTACTACTACTGTACCTCCACTCCCTGACCAATACTATAATAGGAAGAGAGAAGACCAGGTATGGGGGAATGCTTATTAACTATATGACAGCTGGCTCTCGGGAGCTCTGATGTGAGGGTTTGCTGATTTCTCCCGTGTAAATACTCTCACCATGGCCAATCCCTGGAGGAAGAACTGGGAAGAGATGCATAGGAGCAGGCTCCAGCATACCACAGGGTTCATCTAGCCTTCCTTCCCATAGGACAGGCTGTAAGATGCTAATGAAGACTGTGGCTTACAAACCCTTGGGGTGTGTGTGTGTGTGTGTGTGTGTGTGTGTATACAGACACACAACGAAGAAACATAACAGTCTATCACTGCATGCTAGGCACATTCTTCTGTTACTAAGTGATGCGATTTTGTTTTTAGTGAATCATTTTGAAAATCCTTTTACCAGTATTTTGTTGTTAGGAAACTTGCTGGTTTATATTCTTGAATTGATGATTGCATATGTATTGGTGCATATATACATGCTTGTGTGTTGTTGTTGTTGTTGTTGTGTGCCATGAAGTCAGTTCTAACTCACTGTGACTATAGGATTTCCGAGGAGCAGCTGGTAAGTTTGAACCGCCAACCTGGTGGTTAGCAGTCCAATGCTTATCGTACAGTATCACATCAGGACTCCGTGTCTGTATAAGCATGAAAAGATTCTGGAGGGATAAACAGGAAATTGATAACAGCAGATTTACTGTGAGGTCCTGGGATTGGTGGTTGAGAAATTGTACTTAGGCAAGATGAGATATACTTTATATTCCTTCATCCATTGCTGTTGGAATTTTATATAGTCAGCATGTCTTTTTAAATAATTGTTTTAAAACATGAGTTAAACATTTCTACATGAGCCACTTGTCAGTTTACTTGGGAGTGATGTAAAAACACTAATGGCTGTAGCAATGATGCTGCCATTAAAGTAAACTAGCTCCTTTCTGAAATGATGCTTTGTGTTCTATCAGATGTAACTTCTGTGGGTGACTTGAGGAATAATTATTATTAGAGTTGTTAGTTTAAGTTTTAAGTCACCTTTGTCGTTGTTGTAAAGTGCCCTCCTGTCGGGTCTGACGCATAGCAACCCTGTATGGGGTTTTCAAGGAGCAGCTGGTGAATTTTGAAGCGCTGACCTTGTGATTCAAACCAACCTTGCAGTCTGGTGCTTATCCTATGATTATTGTTGTTGTTGTTTAGTGCCGTCAAGGCGGTTCTGACCCACAGCGACCCTCTAGAGGGTTTCCAAGGAGCAACTGGTGAGCTTGAACCACCAAGCTTGCAGTTCAAACCGACTTTGCAGTCTAGCACATTAACCCACAGTGCCACACCAGGACTCCTAAGGTGGTGACCTGAAAATCACTTGTGTGTGTTTAGAAAGGTGAATTGAGATAGTTACATTTTGTCTTTTGTTTCTGAAGTAGACTGAGAACAGATGGAGCTTGATTGAGGTAAACCTTGTTGTTATGTGGCGTTGAGTTGATTCCAACTCATAGCCACCCTGAATAGGGTTTCTGAGGAGCGCCTGGTGGGTTTGAACTGCTGAGTTTAGTACTTACCCTGTTGTTAAGGGAATATTGAGTTGGTTCAGACTTACAATGATGCTATATACGGTTTCCAGTGAGTGGCTGGTGGGTTTGAACCACCAACCTTGTGGTTAGTAGTCCAGTGCTTATCCTAGAGCGCCACACCAGATTATTGTTGTTGTTAAGTACCATCAAATCACTTCTGACTCATGACGATCCTGTATAGGGTTTCCTAGGAGTGGCTGGTGAGTTTGAACTGCTGGCCTTGCAGTTCAAACCGACATTGCAGTCCAGCGTATTATCCCACAGCGCCACACCAGATAGTGCTTAATAGTAATCACGAGCTTCAAGTCTATGGCTACTGTTGTGGATTGTGTTCACATTCTAACCCCTGACACTTGTGAATGTGGCCCTATTTAGAAATAGAGTCTTTGCGGATGTAATCAAGCCAAGATGAGGTCATAATGGATTAGGATGGGCCCTAGTCCAGTGATCTATAAGAAGACACAGCAAGAGAATGCCCTGTGATGACAAGACAAGAGCTGGTGATGCAGCTGTCAGTTGAGAAATGCCAAGGATTGCCGGCTGCCACCAGAAGCTAGGAGAGAGGCATGGAATGGTTTCCTCTTCAGAGCTTCCAGAAAGAACCAGCCTTGCTGAAACCTTGATTTCAGACTTCTAGCCTCCAGAACAGCGACAGAATACATTTCTGTTGTCTTAAGCCACCCAGTCTGTGGTCATTGGTTACAGATACGGCGGCCCCAGGAAACAGGTAGAGCTACATTGCTGCCTTCATCACTGCCATAGAGTTTCTTTCCCCTGACCCACGATAACATTCTTAAACCCTGGATCATAAAGTGCCAGATTTTTCTACTATAGCCCCAGTGTCACTGTGGAGGCTAGAAACCAAAATGAAATTGGTCCTCAATTTCATTTAAATCCTTGCTGTTGCTTGACTGTTAATTTTTAAATGAAAACAAAAAAAAGGTATGGCATCATAGTTATTTAGCATTGTTCTGGAAGTTCTGCTGTAACACCAAAAGAAGGGGCAAAATAAGATATGTTTTATTTACAATGTTATAGCTATATGAGAAAGCAAAAATTGAAATATCTACTAGATTCTCGTGCTTTTCTGTGAGCTATTGATAGCAGAGGTAGTGGTTTTAATTTTCTTGTTTTCCCTTTTCTGGTTTTCCTGTTTTCCTATGTGAATGCAGTTCGCTTTTATAGTGTGTGTTTGTGTGTGTATGTGTTTTTAAGAATGAGGCCGTTGCTCTTTGGTTTGTTGTAAGGTACATATTCTATTTGTTCCACCAATAACTGTGTTTAAGTGCCGTCGTTGAGTCAGTTCTGACTCATAGTAACCTTGTGTAGGTTTCCAAGAAGCAGCTGGTGGGTTGGAACCTCCAACCTTGTGGTTAGCAGTCCAGTGTTTATCCTAAAGTGCCACACCAGGACTTCTCCCCCAACATGACTCGCCCTAAAAGTATTAAAGTTTAAACAGTTTCTTTATCTAAGTGCTACTTGGGTTTCTACTCCCCAAACACAACAAAATTGGTGCGTGTGTTTTTTTTTTTTTAACCATTTTTTAAACTTGTTATTGTGAATTGGGTGAAGGTTTATAGAGCGGATCAGTTTTCCGTTCAACAGTTCAGGCCAGCTGAAATTCACCATTCCTTCTGTCTCTTTGTTCACTGTGTTGTTCAGCTGCTTCTCCTAGTGGATATCAATCCACTTCTCTATCCTTTTCTCTGAAGTTTATGTCTCCAGGATTATCATCTTTATCTACTTCATTTGTTCTCTCCTCTTTTTGTAGAGGGTCTGAGTAGTCTGTGTGCCAAGTTTGTCATTTTGCTGGAAGTCTTCCTTCATTTTAACTTTTATTTGAATAGCTTTGAAGTGCCTTCCAAAGACCACAAGGGATGTTTAAATAGATAATGTATATATTTTCTGAAGAGGGTGTAGTAAATAGAAGAGGTGAATTCTATTCCTGTTAAACCATATTAGCCTGTGATCTTTGCAATGTGGTGTCAGCATACTTGTTTTTATATTTCAGTATCTGAAATGAAGGGGACCTCTAACTAATCAGCTGTCCGCTGTACTAAGTAGACCTGTTTGTCTCACAGCTTCAAGCTTTCTGGTCACTTTCCTAATTGAGCAGAATGCCCAGATGTTTAGGAAGTTCAGATGCCTATATTGTTCCTGCCCCAGGTTGAACTGCTTCATTTTCTCACTTCTCTTTTCAGGTATCTGGCATAATTTTGTCCTCGCACTTTTGGGAATTTTAGCCCTTGTGCTTCTCCCAGTCATTCTCTTGCCATTTTACTACACTGGAGTCGGAGTGCTTATCACGGAAGTCGCTGAGGTAAGTAGCGATTGATTATGTGGGTCATTTTTTTTACCAGATTGTATAATGTAATACTTAGCATATTATGCCAGGAACTTTTTTTTTTTCTTCACATTTTCTTCCTATTCAGAATGCTCCTTAAAATCTAACAATGATTCACTTTTACAAAATGCCAGGAGAATTCGTTTTGTTCTGAATTACAAAGAGTTATTAAAATTTTCTACTTAAAGTTTGTTGATAAAATGTACTATTTACCTTTACAGTTCATGTTTTTATCTCTGCTTTGGGCAAATGTATTTATGTTCTCCTAAGAATGTGGCATTGTGGGATAAGCACTGAATTGCTAACCACAAGGTTGATGGTTCAAACCCACCAGCTACGCCTCGGAAAACCTATACAGGGTCATCTATGAGTTGGAACCGGCTTGATGGCCCTTAACAACAGATGAAGTAAGAAAGGTGAAGCCTGAGCTAGCCAGGCAGAACATGTAGGAGTTTATGTTAATGTCATCCGCTCTGTATTCACTGACTTACACAGTAATTACTGTGATGACATGGAGGCGTTTATTCAGGAAGAAAATTGCTTGTGCAATTGAGTGAGCTTATGTGACTCATTGTGCTCACAGTGTGACCTGCATATTTGGAAGTTTGGAACTTTTTTTTATATATATTAGGACTTGTTTTATAGTTGTTGTTTTTTAAAAAACAAAATTTCATTGTACTTTAGGTGAAAGTTTGCACATCAAATTAGTTTCCCATTCACTGACTCATGCATAAATTGTTCCATGACATTGGTTTTTGTCCCTGTAATGTACCAGCACTCTCCCCATTTCCGCCCTGCCTTCCTTATTTCCGTCCCTCCAGTTTCCTTGCTCCTCTTGGCTTTCTCATCTTTTCTTTTTGGGCAAATGTTGCCTGTTTGGTCCTATAGAGTTGATTGTTCTAGGCGGCACGTTCATCCCAGGAGTGACTTCAGTTCCAGGCGAAAGAAGTGTCTGAGGGAGGTAATCCTGGGGGTTCCTCCAGTCTCTGTCAGTCCAGTAAGTCTGGTCTTTTTAAGGAATTTGAGTTTCGTTCTACATTTTTCTCTCACTTTGTCCAAGACCCTCTGTTGTGTCCATGGTTAGAATGGTCAGTAATGGTAGCCAGGCACCATGTAGTTCTGGTCTCAGGCTAGAATAACTTGCATGGATCATTAATCCAATAGACTAATTTCTTTACTCTCCTTTGATCCAAATGGGAAGAGACCAATAGTTGTATCTTAGGCAGCTGTTTGGAAGCTTTTAAGACCTCAGACGCTACTCACCACACTAGTTGTGGTGGTTACGTGCTGTGGAGTCAGTTATGTCTCGTAGTGACCTTGTATAGGGTTCCCAAGACTAAATCTTTACAGGAGCAGAAAGCCTCATCTTTCTCCACTGGAGTGGCTGGTAGATCCAAACTGCTGACCTTCCAGTTAGCAGCCCCAGATGTAGAATTATGAATTCTACATCATACCATGATGTAGAATTATGAATTATGTTATGCCAATTGATCTAGATGTCCCTTAAATTGTCTTATACTTTTATCCATTGAAGACATGGGAAAGAGGACATTCTGATGATTCCTTTCACACACACATAAACACACAAAAATTATTACCAGTTTGGGGAAAACTTAGTTATCATTTTAATATTCCTGGTCAGGAAGTAGATTTGTTTTTCCCAATTACCAAAAATCTAAAATTCTAGAGAATTTTAAAAGTAGCTGTATGAGAGTGAGTCCAAAATTATCTGCACTCGGGCTGTAGAATTTATTTTAATCAATTTTTAGAAAACACAAATGCACCATTTTTTCAACATAATCTCCTTGCTTTTCACTACACTTTGTGCATCTGTCAACAAGCTTTCATAGTCCCTTATTTTAAAATGTTTTAGCCTGAGCTTTCGAGTGTCCTCACTTCTTCAGGAGTGAATATTCATCCTCGAAGGGCTGCTTTCAGGGGATCAAGCAGGTGAAAGTCTGATGGAGTAAGATCAGAACTACAGGGAGGATGCTTTTAACACCTCAAAAAGTTTTTGCAGAATGTCAGTAGTGTGGACAGAGGTGTGCAGGTGTGCATTGTCATTGCAAGATCACAACACCCTTGGATAGCAGTCCTCTTTGGTTAATCTGAAGTTTAGGCTTCAGCTCTTCAGTGAGCATCTCACTGTAACAAGCACTGTTGATTGTTGTACCTTTTCCCTGATATTTCCTGATAGTTTTCCAATACTGGTCCAGCAAACTAAGCATCAGTTAACTTTTGAACTTTTTCTTGGTTGGAGATTGAGGATGTTTCCATTCCATAGTCTACTGTTGCTCTCAGCTGGTAGTGATGAGTCCATGTGTCGTCACCAGTAACGCTTTTTTTTTTAAGAAACTTGTTCCTTCCTTCAAGTAACATTCAAATTTTGTTTGCAGATATCCAGAAGCTTCTGTTTATGTTCTTCTGCAAGTTCTCTCGGTACCCATCTCGTGCAGACTTTTTGAAACCCAAGTCTGTCGTGGATGATTTCATAGGCAGGGCCATGGCTGATTTGCAAATGATTTGCCACATAATCCACTGTCTCTTGTCTATTTGACAGAATCATTTCACGTGCATGCTCAATGTTGTCATCAGATATGAACAGGTGTTTTGACACATAACCGGAGTGTGAATAATTTTTGACTCAAAACTGTTGAGTTTTGTTGTGTTGATTTTCTAAGTGTGTTTTCATGGATTTAAAGCCATTGTACCTGATATTTTCAGCATTATTTGAAATGTACTTAATTCACTCCGTGTCCTTAGTATTTGTCAGAATAATCCTAACTTGTCTTCACAAATTATCTAATTTACTTTTGCCCTCTTCCCAAGGACTCACCTGCCATTGGACCCAGAGGACTCTTTGTGGGAGACCTTGTCACTCATCTGCAGGATTGTCCCGTTACTAATGTGCAGGATTGGAATGAATGTCTAGATACCATTGCATATGAGCCCCAGATTGGCTACTGTATAAGTGCATCAACGTTACAGCAGTTAAGCTTCCCGGTTAGATGTGAGTATATTTCCTAAATGCAATCTAAAGCTTCGAGCGCCGGTGCTTACCATGCACTGCTCCTTAGAACATGTCTTTGGATTTATTTTGTTCTAATCTGTTCAAAGCATATCAGTAAAGTAATAGGGCCAAATGAGTAGATATTCTTCTTGTTAAGTTGGGTACCAATGTGTGTGTTTGCTTTTTATATATCGTTGAACTTTTCGCTAATTTCATAGTGCAGTTGACTTTAAGTACTCTAGTCGAATTCTTTCTGCTTTCAAAAAAATTTGTGTAAAGTCAGCATTCAAGCTAATGATAACCAAGAAACTTAATTCCAGTAATTAAATATTCTTTAATATGATAATTTTGTTTGCATCTGTATGTTGTTGTTGTTAAGTGCCGTCAAGTCGATTCCAACCCATAGCGACTATTAGATTAATCTATACTTTTATATGGTGTCCTGATGTGGCACTCTAGGATAAGCACTAGACTACTAACCTCAGCCACTTCTCGGAAACCCTGCACAGGGTCACTATGAGTCGGAATTGACTCGACTGCACCTGACAACAACAGCATCATGCTTTTATACAATAAACAAAGTGTTAATCTAAGTAACAAGAAGCAGTTCTTTGCATTAAGCATATATCAGAGCAGGTAAATAACTGACAGCTAATGCCCTATTAGATAAAATGAGAGCATATATATTCTGCATTTATATATGACTCGATGGCACTTAACAACAACAACAAATCCAACAGAGGTGTACAGTAAGGAAAGACGAAAAGAAAGTAACGTGACAAGCACAAACCCTGCCAGAGATTTAGAAAAGATTCCCATAGTTGTGTGGTTCCCATGCTAGCTATGGAGACGGTGGCCTGTGCAAAGACATTTGGAATCGAGAGTTCTTTAATGTAGTAGACATCTGAAGGAAGTTTTCTTGGCATCCTAAAGTCACCCCTGCAGCCATATAGGCTGCTGGGTAGCAGGTGAAGCAAGTTTCTCCTCAGAATCTGTCAAACTTATTTTTGAGTTCTTTCTCTTCTGAAATATCACCCTCCCAATTGTTTATTGGAGTCCTAGTGTGGCACTGCAAAATAATGCACTGGACTGCAAGGTCAGCAGTTCAAGCCCTTCAACCGTTCCTTGGAAATGCTGTACAGGGTCACTATGAGTCAGAACCGACTCGACAGCACTTAACAGCAACAACAACACTGTTTACTGGAGTACTGATGTGGCTCTTTAGCTTTGGGTCTTTAGGATAAGCACTCAACCGCAAGGTCTGTTTGAACCACAAGGTTGGCAGTTCAAACTCACCAGCAGCTCCTTGGGTTTGGCACGGTTACTATGATATGAAGGTATATTCATTTTCTTTAAGGTTACTTGTAATTTATTAAAAAAAAATTTCCCCTATTTTATCTTGAAACCTACTTGACTTCCTCTCCATTTTGAAGTTCTGTATTGACACTATTCTTTTTTCTGCTTTGTATTTGACTTCATTATAAATTGGCATCTCTGGTTTCCTATATTCCATTTTATAAGTTTTCTTTTGTATTTCACTTTAATTACCTCTGTATCTGGATTGAGTCTGGGTGGTGTTTTCATTTGTGTTAAGTGTTAATCTCAGGTAGTTAGTTGTATACTGTTGTTGATTCTCAATCCAGAGAACTTTTTTTTTTTTTTTTCCAGTAATTTTTTTTGTAAAGATGATCTGGTTATTACAAATTGCATGAATCTGTTTTCTGGAAGTGTCCTAATTGCACCATCATAGTTGAGGGACAGCTTTGCTGGGTGTATGTTGGGTAGGTTTTTTTCTTTCAGAGTTTTGTATATGCTGTCCCATTTTCTTGCCTGCATGGTTTCTGCTGAGAAGTCTTATTGGTTCTCCTTTGTTAGTAACTTTGCATTTCCCCAAGCTGCTCTTAGGATTCTTTCCTTGGCTTTTTGGTTTTGGAAAGTTTGATATGTCTTAGTGATTTTCTTTTGATATCCATCCTATTTGGATTTTGTTCAGCTTCTTGTATGCTTATCTTCTTGTCTTTCATGATGTTAGAGAAGTTTTCTTCCCATAATGTTTTTTATCGTCTCTTCTTGGTCTGGAATTCCAATCACTTGGTCTGTTATTCCTCTTCATAGTATCCCATATAACTCTTAGGCTTTCTTTGGATTTTTTCCTTTTTTTTCTGATTGTTCTTCTAATTTACTAGTATTAAGAGATTTACCTTTAAGTTCACTAATCTGGGCTCCATTGTTTTGAAGCTACACCTTTGCCTTTTTAATGTATTGTCCATATCTAAAATCTTAGTATTAATCTTCTGGATTTCTCAGTGTAGGTTTTGCATTATTTCAAGCTTTGCCTTTATTTTGTTTGGTCTTAAAGTGCTTTCCTAAATTCTTCTAACGGTTTTCTATGTTTTCCTTGCTTTTTTGTATCTTTCTGTCAATCTTTTGTAGGTACCAAAATATCATTCTTTGGAATTCTTTTTCAGCTAGTTCCATTAACTTTTATTTCCTCACTAACATTTCTTAAATCTACATCTTGGTTATTTGTGTGTGTCATTCTCTCGTTTCTTTGAGCTAAAATTGTCCATTGTCTATGCGACATTGTGGTGTTTTTGTATTTGAATTTAACTGATGATTGTATGTTTATATATTCTTAGGCTCTCACCAACTGTCTCTTGTGGGTGTAGTTAGAGAATGGAAGCCTGGGCATTGTTTACCATTTGTGCACCTCACTTTAGGCTGTGTTTGCCTGGTATTGGCTACTGTTCATCATTTATCAGGTGGTATAGGAGATGATATTGGCTTTTTTTGTGTGTGTGTGAAAAAGCAATTTTAATTACTGTGGTTTTTTTTTTTTTAATTAAATGTTTTTATTTTGCATTGAGTGAAAGTTTACAGGGCACATCATCAGCTTCACATTCAACCATTCATATAGCTTGTTTCATTACATTGATTATTATCCCCACTATATATCATCAGTTAACAGTGTTTCTCTCTATCCTCTTTAGCTTTTTTTTTTTTTTGGTGGGGGGGGACTTGGCTTATTGGAATTTACAGTCTCGGCTTTTAGGGGAGGTTTTTACATTTGTCTGTGGATATCCAGGGCTCATGTATGAGATTACTAACAAGCATTACTGAATAATCAGATGAGGGACAGTTTGTTATGTCTACTAGGTGGCTAGAGTCTGATCCTCAGAGCCTATGGTTTGGACAGTCAACAATGCTTGGGCCCACAGGGATGATATTGGCTTTTGCCCAGTGACGAGTGTCAGAGGGTATGGTTGTGTCTGGGCTTCATTTACTCAGTTGCTGTCTCCTGTTGGGTGGAAAAGAGAAGTAACACCCCCACACCCCTCACCTAACACAGTAGGAAGCAAGTAGAAAAAGCAACCAACTAACCAACCATGAAAAGATAAAATAATTAAGATGAAAGAAGTATTAAGGTCAGGCGGGGATGAGAAGAAAAGAATTTAACAACTGAAAAGAGATTCAGGAAAATGAATTTTCCATCCTTTGATTTTTAGTTTGTTTCTGCCTTTGTGTGTAAGATGTGTCTCTTGTAAACAGCATATTGAAGGATCCTGTTTTCTTACCCATTCTGCTGCTCTCTGTCTCTTGAATGATGCATTTGATCCGTTTACATTCAGTGTCATTATCGCTTTGTATGAATTGATTGCTGTCATTTTGCTGTGTATTTTTTTCGGATTCTTAGTGCTGAGTTCATTTTGTTTGTGGGTTGTCTTTTTATTTTCTTCATTTCTGTTAATGTCTACTAAATCTTTTTGAATAGTCTCTTTTTTATTTTTATGTAAAGGCATATTCATTTTCTTTGAGGTTACCCTGTAATTTATTAAATTTTTTTCCCTGTTTAATCTTGAAATCTACTTGACTACCTTGCCATTTGGAAGTTGTATAGCTACACTATTCCCTCTTTTTGCTTTGTAGGTGACTTCATTATAAATTGATATCGTTGGTTCCCTACATTGTTTTGTAAGTTTGTTTTATTTTAAGTACTTCTGTATCTGGATGAGTTCTGGCTGGTATTTTCATGTGCATTAGTCTCAGGTTGGAAAAATTAAAGGAAGAAATAAAAATGAGAATAACCCTTAGAAAACCTGGGAGAGGGAAGATGAAAAGACAGAATAGAGCATAACAAAGAAAAATCAAATGGTGAGAGAGAGGAAAAGGGGAAATAGGGAACAGAAGAAAAAGAAAACCAAAAGCAGAGATTGTTGTTGTTGTTGTTGTTAAGTGCCGTCGAATCTGTTCCGACTCATGGCGACCCTGTACAGGGAACTGCCAACCTTGTGGTTCAAAACGGCTTCGCAGTCCAGTGCATTAACCCGTAGCACCACACCAGGACAAAGCGGAGATAGAAGGAATCAAATTTAAAGGACTGGAAAGAGAAGAAAGAATAAACAAGAAAAACAAACAACAAAATCACAAAACCAAACTTAAAAACAAAAAAAACAGTGCAGCTGTTGGGCCCAGAGATGGTAAAACTTGGGGCTGCTCCTGCAAGCCAAGGAGATGGTGAGGTGGGTGTGGCAGGGATGTGACACGGAGTTCTTGGCCCTGTTGGCCTCGGTGCTACCTGTGTTCAGGGCACTCAATTTGGTAGTTGTTCTTGGAGGCCCTTGACGGAGCTATTTTCAGTATCAGGACCGCAGGGCAGTGGGGAGCAGGGTGACTGGCTAATGCTGATCACGTGGCTTTGAGGGTTCTGTAGATTCAAAGCCGAATCCACCTGAATCCAGGCACCAAAACGCTCTCCGAGGTCGTGCAGCTGGGCTCCTGCCTCACACTGGCATGTCTCCCAACCATGTGGCTGCGAACTCCTGGAGAGCAGGGTCTGCACTAGGCGTAGATGAGGGTGAGAGCTAGCCACATCTGGTCACAAGGGGAGCCTGGGACAAAAGAAGGAATCGCGTCTTTTTCTAGTTGCCTGTTTGGCTCTGCTCTGCCAGGCCGCATTCTGTTGCCAAAGCTGCTCACAAAGGTTCGAGATGGTCATACAG